TTTCTTGGCAAAGGTACCATAGTGGATTACCATTTCCTTCTCTAGCTCATTTTACAGATGAGGAAACTAAAGCAAACAGGATGAAGTGATTTGCCCAGGGTCACATAGCTAGTGTCTGAAGCTGGTTTTGAACTCAGGGCTTAACAAGGCCAACCTAACTCCAGGTGTTCTATCCACTGCACCATCTAGCTGACTCAGTAGATAAGGACTAGGGAATTAATTGGTCTAGACGCACAGAGATTAAGTGACTTGCCAAGGAACACACAGCATCAGTGGCGGGATATGAATCCAGGTGTTCCTGTCTCCAATACCAACATTCTATCCCCTTAGCTACCCTGTATCTATTTTTTCCAATTGACACAATTTATTTAATCTTCCATAAACAATTACAAATTCAATTGCAGGTTGATTCTTGAACACTCTACACAGACATACATATACAAATGCACACACACAATAAGGTAGGGTCATGAAAAAGTCAAGCCAACAAGGATTTATTAAGCGCATACCATGTACCAGGCCCTGTGCCAACCCAAAAAGTAGTCCTTCCTTTCAAGGAGCTCACAGTCCAGTGGTGAAGACAACATACAAACAATTATGTCAGGGCAGCTAGGTGGCACAGTGGTTAGAGCACTGGCCCTGGATTCAGGAGGACCTGAGTTCAAATGCAGCCTCAGATACATAACACTTACTAGCTGTGTGACCCTGGGCAAGTTACTTAACCCCATTGCCCAGCCAAAAAAAACCCCAAAAAACCAATTATGTCCAAACAATCCACAGAGAGGATGAATTGGAGGAAATCTCAGAGGGAAGGAAGGAAACAGCATTCATTAAGCGCCTAATCAGTGCCAAGCACTTTACCAATATTATCCTCACAACAACTCAGCAAAGTAGGTACTATTATTATCTTAATTTTACAGTTGAGGAAACTGAGGCCGGAAGAGATTAAATTACTTGCCCACGAGCGTATTTGAGAGATGCTGAAAAGATGAAATGGACAGGCCTTGGCAAGAGCTTGGGTACTGGGGATGAGAGAGAATGAAGAATGAGGAAGACTGGTGGGTTCTGAGGCTGAGGGCCTGGGACGACGGGGATGCTCTCTACAGTAATAGGGAGGTCAGGAAGGCTTGGAGGAAGAAGGTCATTTCAGTTTTGTACACGTTGAGGTGAAGATGGGTACAGGACATGCAGTTAGAGATGTATAATATGCAGTTGGTGATCAGCGGGAGAAGAGGCCAAGAGAGGATAGGGCTAGATAAACAACAATCATCCGCACAGAGATAAGGAGTGAATCCGTGGGAGCTGGTGACAGGATCGAGCGAAGCAGTCTAGAAGAACAGAAAAGCGCTCAGGGCAGAGCCTTGGGGGACAGCAAAGGAGGCTGAGAAGGAGCAGCCAGGCAGGTGGACAGAGTACCAGCAGACAGCAGTATCAGAAAAACTTAGAGAGAGAAAAGGCTGCGGAGAGGTCAAGGAGAGTGAAGACTGAGAAAAGGCCACTGGGCCTTGGCAATGAAGAGATCACTGGTATCTTTGGAGAGAAAGGTATCAGCTGAATGATGAGGACGGAAGCCAGACACCATAGAATAGGAAGAAAATATATAGTGTCCTAGAATTAGCTCCCTGTTACCCAGCCATGGTGAGAGATGAGAAAAATAGCAGTTAGGTTCTTTGTATTTACTCCATGTGAAAAATGCTGCCAAGCATCATCTATAAATATATGCAAAAAATGAAATTTCAATTTCATTTCTCATTAAAATTTCATTAAATTTCAATTTAATTAAAAATGAAATTTCCATAAAACCACACTGTATACTAATACTCTTGTTGAAAGATTTAAGGTACATTAAAGGATCCTCTCAAAGGAGAAAAGCTTTCTTCTTCTTTTTTTTAAAAAGAGCATTTTATTAACAATTTACCATTACAATCAAGTAAACCTGCTTGATCAGTATTCACTAAATTATTTTCAACATGTAAAGTATCATAACAAGCTCAGAGACTAGCACACAGTAAGTACTTAATAAAAGATCTATCCACATATATGTGTATGTATATATATATTTTAATCATCATCTGTCCATCAGCTCTTTATCTGCCTCTATCATCTGCCTATCTCTAACATCATCTATCTATATATCTAGCTAGCTAGCTAGCCATCATTTGTCTGTCTGGACTTGGTGACCTCTCACGTCTTTCTCAAATCTAAATCTATGATCTTATGATTCTATTCCTCACCAATTAAACAGCCCAATCTGATACACAGAGGTAAACTGAACGTGTCTTGCTAAAAGGAACCACGGACAATGAAGTAATATCAGTACTATACATGTATGTACCAAATGGTGTAGCATCCAAATGCTTAAAGGAAAAGTTAAATGAGTTACAGGAGGAAATGGCCAGTAAAACTATACTAGTGGAGAACCTCAACCTTCCCTTCTCAGAACTAGATAAATCTAACCATAAAATAAATACAAAGTCAAAGAGAATAGAATCTTAGAAAAAGAAACAGGGAATCAAGTATTAAGCATCTACTATGTGCTTTACAAACATTATCTCCTTTGATCCTCACAACAACCCCGGCAGGTAAGTGCTATTACCATCCACATTTACAGTTTAGGAAACTGAGGCACAGATTGAGTGACTTGTCCAGGGTCACACAGCTAGGAAGTGTTTGAGGCTGGACTTGAACTCAGGTCTTTCTGATTCTAAGCCCAGCACTCTATTCACTGTGGTGCCACTGAGCTGCTTCTTTGCAAAATTAAGTAGTCCTATAAACACTCATTTTTATTATTTTTGTAAATGTACTTCTTGTTTCCCCTATAAGGATGTAAATAAGCTTCCTGCAAGCAGATGTTCTCATTCTTTATATTAGCACCCCCGGGGTCTGACACAGAGCCCAGCACATTGTAGGGTCTTCATCAATGCTGTTGACTAACTGCATTATAATATTCTATCACATGAACGTACCACATTGTATTTAACCATCCTCAAATGTTGCACGTTTAAATTGTTTCCAGTTATTTTTTTAAATTATATATAATGCTGATATAAAAATCTCTGAACAGATTTCTTTTGTTTACTTGTTTTGGTAACTTTGGGGGTACATTCCAACAATGGAATTACAGGTCAAAGCATACATATGATTATTTGTCTCTCTTACTTATTGACAGTATTCTCTAAAAGGATGGGAAAAAATCTTTCTTGAATTAAAACTATCTAGAGTCACATGAAAAAATGCTCTAAATCACTATTGATTAGAGAAATGCAAATCAAAACAACTCTGAGGTACTACATCACACCTAACAGATTGGCTAATATGACAAAACAGGAAAATGATATATGTTGGAGAAGATGTGGGAAAATTGGAACACTAATGCATTGTTGGTGGAGTTGTGAACTGATCAACCATTCTGGAGAGCAAACTGGAACTACACCCAGAGGGCTACAAAAACGTGCATATCCTTTGACCCAGCTATAGCACTTCTAGGGCTGTATCTCAAAGAGATCATAAAAATGGGAAAAGGATCCTCATGTACAAGAATATTTATAGCAGCTCTTTCTGTGGTGGCAAAGAATTGGAAATTGAGGGGATGTCCATCAATTGGGGAATGGTTGAATAAACTGTGGTATATGAATGTAATGGAATATTATTGTGCTATAAGAAACGATGAACAGGCTGACTTCAGAAAAACCTGGAAAGACTTGTATGGACTGATGCTGAATGAAGGGAGCAGAACCAGAGAACGTTGTACACAGTAACAGCCATGTTGTGTGATGACTGACTTTCTTAGACTTAGCTCTTCTCAGCAATGCAAAGATCTAAGACAGCTCCAAAATGCTGTCCACATCCAGAGAAATGACTACGAAGTTTGAATGCAGATCGAAGCATGCTTTTTGCTCTTTTTTCTCTTCTGTTTCATTTTGTTTCTTCTTTCTTGTGGCTCCTCCTATTGGATCTAGTTCTTCTTTACAACATGACTAATGTGAAAATTTAAAAAAGTCATTCTTGAATATGAATTGAAAATGCTGCCTGCAAGAGTTTATATGAAATTAGAGAGCCTAATGAAGAGGAGAAAGAGCCCTGGCTCTGGATTCTGGGTTCGAATCCCAGCTATGCTCCCTCCTATGTGCCTGCTCTAGAGCCAGCCCTCCCAGTTTTCTGGGCTTCAGTTCCCTCATCTGTAAAAATGAAAGACTCAGCTACGATCCCTCTGAGCTTTCCATTCTATGATCGAAAGGTGGAAAACATTGCTAGCCAACTATTTAGAGTAGGAAGAGATTAGCCCAAAACCACCCACCAGCATCTATTTTCTCTCCATCTGTCCCTCCAAAGTTGGCTTTGCTAATGAGGAGAACTTGAGGCATGACCTTAGACAGTGACTTCTCTTTCACAGCTAGGAGACGGGCATGAAAATCAGTTGAGACCCCAGGAGGAGTTAGGCCTATAAGCCACTGATTTTGAATCTAGGTGGGCTTGTCTGTTTGCTCTCTTACTGTGGAGGGAAGGACTCTGCCTGGGGGTATCTTTCCCCTAAATCAGACAGGGCATGTGATCATCCTGTCACCAAACCAAGAAGAAACAGAAACGGACCCGACTCTGCCAGAAACCTTGGAAGCAGAAGTGAGGAAGTGAGTGCTCTGAGAAAGCATAGTTCACAAACTGGGCCAGGGCCCAAATCTCTGGAGTTCCTAGTAGGAGAGCAACCCATCAGGGCTGGTTTTCCCTTCTCGTGGGATTTTTCATAAGGTCAAAGAACTCCTGCCAACAGAAATGGAGACCAGACCATGACCACCCAGATGTGAGCCAAAAACAAAGGAAGGTGGATGGAGCAGGTCCTTTCAGAAAAGGGAGAAAGCCATTCCCAACCCGCCTTCTTTCTTCCCTTTACCAAGATGGCATCAGGATAACACAGTAATCCAGCATAAGCAAGCAGAAGACTCCAAACAGAGACCACTCTGCTATTTTCTGGGTACATCATTTAGCCCAGGAAACTAGAAAATAGACAAAAGAATATATGTTTGGGGTCTGAAACAGCTACACAACATTTTATTAATTAACTAACAATAATAATAATAATAATAATAATAATAATTTAAATCCACACTGCTCCAACACTCCTTTCTCAGTGTTCCAACAAAGGTACTGGAATATCTTAAGCATTTCCAGCTTTCTTATGTGTTGAAATTATTAGCCAACTATTTAGAGCAGGAACAAGATTAGCCCCCAAACGCCCGCCAGCATCTATCTTCTCTCCTTTCATCCCTTTCACATTGGCTTTGCTAAGAGTAGAGCTTGTGGGATGGCGGTTGCTGCCATGGTCCATTCTTTGGCCCCCATGCCACCCAGAGCAGCTGGAGCAGGAAGTGTCTGGCGAGGGCAGGAGGTCATCTCAATCATCGATGTCCATTTCGGTTACCGCCTGTTTACTGGATTTTTTGTTTCCTCCTTCTGTCTTCTTTTTCTTCTTATCTTTTTGTTCCTGGTTAATTCGAGAAATCTCTTCACTCTTCTCTGTGATGTAATTTAGCTAAAAATAAAGTTTAGGGATAATATTTTGAGACTGCTTCTCATCAGACCAAAAAGAAAAGAATTCTGCACAAGGGGAAATAAATGCTTATTGACTTAATGATTGATTGGTGTCCCCAAAGCATTGACATGTGGATGTTCAAGACGTGCTCCCCTCTCTTCAAGATTCAATACGGTTCTAAACCAGGGAGGGTTCTTAATCATGTTTGTGTTCTAGACCTATCTGTCAATAGGCTGGTGAAGCCCATGGACCCCTTCTCAGAATACCATTCTCAAATGTGTAACATACACGGGAGTTACAAAAGAAACTTATTCTTTTGAAATACAGTTAGTCAAAACTTTTTTTAAACAAAGTTCATAGACCTCCTAGGCTAAAACCCCTAGTCTAAAAGCTTTCTTGGCAGATGAATCAAGAGAGGCAGGATGCTCTAACAGTGGACAGAGAGTCTCGCTCAGGGTCATGAGGTCTTGGGTTCAAGTCTCCCACCTCTGACACATTCTGGGCATGTGACCCCACTGCAACGTCACTCCATCATTGAGTGTTCAAGATAACAGTAAAAGAGTGACAACAGCCATTACAAATGCAAGCTGCAGGACAGTTTGCTGATCTGCCGAAAAAGGAAAGAAAGGAAAAGGAGTTGGTGAGAAACAAGTCCACTGGTCCTAGGAGTCAGGAAGCCCGGCAGGTAAAGGCCTTCCCTAGGTGACGCTAGCATCCCTGTCCAGATTATGCACTAAGCTCCAGCCGTATGGGCCCCCTGCCATCTTCCTCCTCTGTGGAAAAGCCTGGGCCCAGGCTGCCCTGCACATGTAGAGTGCACCGTCCTCCCCTCCGACCCTCAGAATTCTTAGCTCCCTTCACTGAGGTGCCACTTTCTGGGGAAAGCCCCTCTCCTTCCTGCTCAAAACACCTTTTTCACACGTCTCTTTGTAAATGAGCTTTGTAAAAGTTCCTGAAGGACCGGGGCACTTTTTCCTTTGGTCTCTGTATCCCTAGCACCTTGTACACAGTTAGGTGTTTAATTAGTGCTTCCGGGACTGGATCAGAGTTGTGTCTGTCACTAAGGAGCTGTAGGTCTGGGGGCCTCAGTTTCCTTAGGGCAACAAGGGGGTTGTACTGGGATGCCATCGGAGGGTCCTTTTAACTTCCAATGAGAACACAGAAAACTCACTCTTTCTTTCCATGATCCCAAGCTGAAAGAGAACGATCAAACAGGGCACATTCTGGGATCCATCCCTGACCTGGACCCTCAGTCATTTTCTGGTCACCACAACAATGAGATTCAAATCCAATCTCAGCCCCAAACATCATGATGATGCTACACAGGCTATAAAGGTCCAAAGTTTAGAAGTAGAAAAAAAAAGGAAAGGGAGGTGTGCAGATTACTAACCCCAGAGAACGCTGATGACGGCCTGCAAATGCTGGGTGGGCAGATCCAGCAAAATGAAAGAAAGCCCATATATTACAGGCAAGTCCTCCAGGCTCAATCAGCTCAGGGTTTTAATGCAAGGTGCCCTGGGGAATAACTTCCTTGCTTCAGGGGATTAATGGGGAATAATGTATTCTGATAGGAAAGGAGAGGAAGGAAGGAAATTCATCTCTCACCAATGAGCTGCTCCTCCTGGCTAAGAGCTTCACGTCCTCCATGTTAATTGTGCTTCTTTTTGCATGTCTGGGGAAAGGGCAGAAACAATTCACCAAATGTTTGCCATTATTTCAAGGGTTGCGAGTTCACAGACCCTGCCATACAGACTCTCAGCTAGCCAAGGCCCGGCAGTCTGCAGCCTTTGCGGATGGGGGTGCCCAGGGAAACGCCAAGAGGAGGATAGTCAGACTCAAGGACTACTGTCCGAATGTGCTCCGAGGATGGCCGAGGAGCCCAGATGCCTGAGGTCCAACACTGGGCTGACCGTTCAGCACAAGCTGCGCAGCAGGCACCAAATCCCTTCCAGAAGTTGGGCATAAACATCAGGAAAGGGCCGACGGGAAGGATGTAACACACAGTTTGGGGAGAGACAAAAGTCTGCCAGCTTGGCCCTCCATCACAGAACATCCTTCGGCGGCTATTCACTGCACACGGACCATGGGCCAGGCTAAGTCCAGGCCAGGCATCAAGGAGGTGGCTAAAGAAATAGACACGGCCTCTGCCCTCTGGCATAAGAAACAAGGCCTACAAATGAGAAGGGGGTGCTAACAACAACTCAGGTGTGCAGAGCACCTTCCTCCCCCAGAAACCACCCGCAGCACAGGCTTGCTCACCAAAGTCAGTGTGCCTTCCCAGCACCCCACACCGAATGTTGGCTGAGCGCACACACACACACGTCAGCAAACTAAGGGACTCATTCAAATGCTCCTCGTCCTTTCCCACCTTGGTACCTTTGCCCAAGCCCCTCCCTCCATATCTACCGCTGTGTTACAAAAGGCACTTTTCCAGGTCCCTGACTCCCCAAGTCTTCTGAAGTGGGGATTTCAGACATAGGGAAGGCAGCTCTTATCTACGTTCACTGGGACTGGGGGTTGGGGCCTGGGCAACAGCCAGCAAGCAGAATTCTTTACCTTAGCGGATCTTCTCATCTCTCCCCTTCTCCCTGCTTGCTTACAACAAGGGACAGAGATGCCATTTTATCCAACCATGAAACAAAAAAGGCCTTTAACCCGAGCCAAAGCATAACTGGTTCACTATGATGATGCCTGATAACTCCACCTTGTTTTATTTTTCCGTTTAGCCATAAAGTGTTGCTATTTAGAATTTTTTCTTTCTTCCATCATCTGGTCACACTGTAGAAGACAAACTGGGGAGGCAGCCTCCACTGCAGGGATGGTGGCTGAGCCGGCTACCCCTCACATTTCCTCATTCCTTCTGAGCCGTCAAACTGAACTCCACAAAGCACACCTTCCCCGCCACCTTCTCTCTCTGCTGATGGTCCCAGCACCCTGCGGGCCACCCCTGCCCACAGGGCGAGTCATCAGGGACCCCCGATGGGTCACTGGCTCCTGCCCCTCCCACTGGTCACCTCCTTCCACGTTCCCAGGCTGAGAGAGAGCAGTCAAGCAGAACAAGGCCTGGGATCCATCACATGCCAGACCCTCGGTGGGTTTTTGGCCGCCATGACAATGCTACCCCAATCCAGTAGATTAGGGGCAGCTAGTGGATAGAACGCTGGGCTCTCGCAAATCCAGCCTCAGACACTTCCTAGCTGTGTGACTCTGAGCAAGTCCCTTCACCTCTGTTTGCCTCAGTTTCCTCATCGGTAAAATTGGGATCATAACAGCACCTCCCTCCCAGGGTTGTTGTGTGGATGAAATGAGAAAATACTAGCACAGTGCTTAGCACAGGGCCTGGCACACTGTAGCTGCCATACAAATGCTTAGCCTCCTTTCTTTCCCCATCCTCTACTCTAACCTTCCCATGACACTGCTCTGATCAAGACACCAAAAAGTACTCCAAACCCTTCTGTGGCTCCCTACTGCCTTCTAAACAAAAAACACTAGTCTTGGCATTCGAGGCCTTTCACCTGGTTCCATCCCACCTCTTGCAGTTTTCTCGCATTATTCTACATAAGGACAACTCTGTCCCCCATTCTAACTGTCCTTTCTGCCTCCACATCCTTATAACCTGGCCCCTATGTCTGGCACGGCTTCCTCCCCTTTCTCCACCCACTTTCTTTCTGCTGAAATACTATCTGCTTTTCCATTGTACCCCAAGACCCCTGGGGCCTGGCCATCTGACTTTCAGCTGAAATCTCCCATACACTCTCTTCCCCTACTGGAAAGTGAGCCCTAAGAACAGGGGGCATCTTAACTTTCTCAGTTGGTCAATAAATATTTATTAGGTACCTGCTATGTGCCAGGTACTGCAAAGAAAGGCAAAAGACAGGCCTTGTCCTCAAGGAGCTTGATTTAACAGGGGAGACAGTGGGTAGCCAGCTGTGGGCAAACCAGCCATGGAAGGACAAGTGGGAGAGAATCCACAGAGGGAGGCCCAAAGGACCTTCTATGTGTATCTCTGATGCCCCAGCACAGTGACGGCACCTTGGACGTGCTCACAAGGCCCCAGTCCGGGGTCGCCTTCTAGGAAGCTTTTTCTGACCCCTGGCCCAACTAAAAGTCATTTCCTCCACCCCTTTCCCTCCCTCTTTCTTCCCCCCTTTTGTGGGTCCCCCCCCTCTTCTCTGTCTCTCTCCCTCCTCTCTCTTCTCTCTCCCTCTCCCTCCTCTGTCTCTCTGTCTCCCCTTCTCTTCTCTCTCTCCCTCCCTCCTCTCTTTCTTTCTCCTGTCTACAATATTGCCAAGGCCTCTTTCCTCGGCTTTTACCCTCTTCCCCACCATCATTTTTTGTGCTCCCAGTTTCCTTCCCTCTCAGAACAGGGACTCTGCCCTTTCTCTCTTTGTATTCCTGGCTGTCCCCTGCACATGGTAGGTACTCAAGAAAGGTTTGGTGAATGAACTCATGGCCAAGCTGGAAGCTGCTGGGCATTTCTGAGAGGGCGAATGAACATAGGAACAAGAGGTGTTTAAAGTCTGCCCTCTGGGAACCTAGTGCTTTAATTCATTCAAAACATTCCTAACTGAGACAAAGAGGTAAGAGGAGGGTGCGGGGGAGGGAGAGGTTGGCACCAAATCAGGAAGGATGGCAAATGAGAAAGCTTTAGCCCTTTCAGGCCTCAGTCATCTGAATTGCTTCATAAAAGCAATTCATGGCAATTGTTTTCAATTACCTAAGGTACTAATTGAAGAGACGAGCATAAATCACCTGTAAAAGCTCAAGTGATTCTAGACGAAAGCGGGGCCCTCACTTTGTGAGGGCTGCTTTTTACTCTTAACAAATGGGGCAAATGAAAGCCTTTGACTAGCTCAGGCATCAGCCGTCCTTACCCCCACACCTGCAGGCAATTACACCCCACATACACTTAGGAGGGCTCCTCCACGTCCCGCCTAATTTCCTTTTGTGTCTTTCTTTCTCTCTCCCCACCTACAAAGTTTCAAAGTGCTTGAAACCCTCATGCCGAGAACGGTGGGGGGAAAGCGGGAACGGAGCGCCCCTGTGCACATGGCGTATCGGTCCCTCGGCCTGACGCCCTCCACTGAATCTGCAATCAGGTCACTTCTGTTCTGCGACAGACACTTGTACAAGTTCATGAAAACGTCGCCAAAAGCGAGGCTGAATCCACCTGATGGAAAGCAGACACTAATTACGGGGCTTCACGGATGGAGACACGAGGCCCCGAAAACTGAAGAGCGAAAGGCCCCCTCGAAACCCAGCCACCAACGGAAGGCGCCAGCCAGCTGCAGAATCACAAACAGGCAGACAAAAAATCCACAAAAAACAAAAAGGGCAAGACTTCCCCAAAACCCACCTCTTACACCTACCTGGCAAACATCTCGAGGTCTTTGGCGAAATGTTCTGAAAGAGAAAGGAGAGGCACTTTAGTCACAACCTCCTCCTCCTGGTTTCAGGGATGAAAAGTCAGTTTCTACGTCTGCCGTCACTCGCTCAGGGACGGACAGAGCAGCCTTTCAAAGGTGAAGGTGTGCTCATCACTTCTCTCATCGCCCTCATTCATTGCGGCCCCCTCTCTTCCAGCACCCTTTACCCCTGCAAATCTTCCATTAATTCGGTACCTTTGGTTTCTGATAATTAAACAAAACCATTCTTTAACTTCAGATCTGACCCCAAAGATGGAGCTCTGCTTGACCCCAAATCAGGGCACCCACAGCAAGTACCAGAGTAGGGCCAGGCAATGACCAAGTCAGCTGAAAAACCAAACTGCACAAAGCCCTGAATCTCACCACCAAACTCATGAGGGGGTCCTGGTTCTTGGGAGCCATTATTTGCCACGCCCCCTCCTCTCAGCTGGGAGGTGTAGGACTCTGGCACACCCCTTCCAGACAAGGTCACTGTGTCTACTGGATTCAATCAGGGGTGGGCAGGTCTATTCAAAAAATACTGTTATAAAAACAAAAGGCCTCAGTAAGACTAACATTTACGGGGCAGGGCAGCCTCAAAAGCTGGAAGACCTGGGTTCAAGTCCTACCTCAGACACACACTGACTGTGAGATCCTGGGCAAGTCACTTAACCTCTTTGTGCCCGCCGGCTGAAGGAGTTTGCTCACTGGGTATTCCTTGCACCAGTGAAACCACAGGTTCAGTAAAGAAGGAATGAAAAGGAAGGTCATGGGGGTGGGGTGAGGATGGCAGTGAGGATCAGAAGGGAAGTCAGACCTCTAGCCCAAAAGCTGCCTTTACAGAGGAGGAACAATGAGTACAATAAGGCAGGCCCTCCCGGGCTGAGGTGGGGGACTAGGGAGGCGGGAAGGGAGAGACGCTCCCTCACTGGTCCCACTGTGTTGGTTCTGCTTAACTGGCTTTCTTTGTTTGGAGAAAGGGGTGGGGCTGGGGGGAGGACAACAGCGCAGAAACATAGAGCTTCCACGACATTTATTTTTAAAAAGAAACACAAACACAAGGAAAGGTTGCTTGCCGGGCTGGGGTCAGAAGTCAGAGAGAGAGCCAAGATGAAAAAAACAGAAAGGCAACAGACAAAGCTTGTTTTCAAAAGGCAATGCCAAAGCAAGGGGCAGCAGGAGTGGGCCACCTACCGCACTGCCGAAAGGTGACCTCGGAGATGGCCGCGATGGCCGGCTTGGTGAACCGGACGCCTTTGGCATCGGCAGCTTCCTGGCACATGGAGCCCACCGTGTAGTGGACGGTCGCCTTCAGGTTCTGAAACACAAGACACAATTCCAGGGGGATTCAATTCAGCCGGATCCAAAGGGTTTGTTCAGCGTCTCCTCGGGTGTGTGGCGCTCTCGGAGGGGCTGGTGATCCGAAGACAAACATCAACGGTTCCTGCCCTCAAGGAGCTTACACTCTCCTGGGGTGAAACAGGCACACAGGCAAGTAAATGCCAAATCCAGGCCGATCGATTCATCAACAAGCACTTGTTAAGCTGCTACTATGTGCCAGGCATTGAGGTGGGCGCTGGGGATTCGAATTTACAAAGAATGAAATGATGGCTGCCCGCAAGGAGCATGCACACGCTGCCTCAGGGAGACCGCCTGAACACACAGACGTGTGTGCAGACAACGTCATCACGATCAATATGAGGTGCTCGGCGAGGGGGGGCACTTAGCCCTGGGGGGAGGGGCAGGAAAGACTTCCTGCAGAAGGGGCTACTCCCACTGGGATGGTTCTTGAGCAGAAGAGGGTCGTGCTCTGACTTTCCTTTGGGAACAGTAAGTAACGTGTCAGAGGTGACGAGGGCCCGCACCAGACTGGGCCACATGAGTAGAGACAGGCCAGCAGAGAGAGGTGCTGTGCAGCTGGGACAGAACTACGGGAAACGAGGGAGAGCAGAGGGCTCAGGAACGCTCCAAGGTCCCCAAAGGGTTGGGCACTGGGGCCTTTCCTGTCAGGCTGAAAACCAGCAATCTCTTAGCACTTTCATCAGGCCTGGGTGGTCTCCAAGTTCCATCCGGCTCTGACCCCCTACCACAGCACTGGTTACCTGGGGACTGAGTCTCATGGCCGAGATGACTGAGGTGAGCAGAGACACGTTTCCAGTCATGGAGAAGCCGGCAGAGGGGGCAGGCCGGTCCCCTATGATGACAGGCATCTGGGGCCAGCCAGCTCTGCCCCCAAGAACCCAACCAGTCCAGGCGACGGAAGAGGTCTCCTCCAGAAGGGGGCTTGGAGCCAACATGTTACAGATGGAGAAACAGAGACGCAGGGGTGACATGAATGCTTGGGGCGGGGGGCATGGCTCACAAGAAGCAGGGTCTGGCCCTGGTTTTCTGATGCTCTTTCCAGGAGGGGGGCATCGAATAGAGCGGAAGTCCTGGAGTCAGGAAGACCTGAGCTCCATCCGACCTCAGCTTCCAAGATGAGCTTTTGAAACATAAATCATACATTTGGGTTCAAAAAATAAACTTCACAAGTATAAGAAAGGGGAGGTATGGATGATAACAGCTGGCATTTCTACAGTGCTTTAAGGTTTGCAAAGAAGAGCTTCACCAATACTATCCCATCTCATCTCCACAACAATCCTGGGCGGGAAGGGGGTTGGGTTGCTATTATTATCCCTATTTCACAGATGAAGAAACTGAGGCAGACACACTGCTAGTAAGTGTCTGAGCCCAGATTTGGTCTCAGGTCTTAACTCCAGGCCCAGCCCTCTGCCCCCTGCCCCTAGTGGGCTAGACAGAAGCTTTCAGAAGAAAGATCTGGGGGTTGCTGCTCAGTCGCTTCAGTTACGTCTGACCCTTCATGATCCTACCTAGGTTTTGTTTTTTTTTTAAAGATACTAGCACAGTTTGCCATTTCCTTCTCTAGCTCATTTTATAGATGAGGAAACTGAGGCAAACAGGGGGAAGTGACATGCCCAGGGTCACACAGCAAGTCAATGTCTGAGGCCATATTTGGACCATAAGTTGTAAGTCAGCAGTATAATTATGGCCAGAAGAGCTAATGAAATCTTAGTGGACTTTTGAAAACCAAAGGAACAGGCTGGCTCTGCTATTGACATGAAGAGGCCTTGTGTCCAGAACTAGAAAAGCGCCACAGTCCTCTGTCCTGGTCACGACACGTCTGGGCTCCCAGGGCTGTCCTTGGAGAAGGCCAACAGGCTGCAGAGTGCCTCGTGAGCAGAGTGTGGGTCAGCCGAAGGAGCTGGGGACATTTATCCTGAAGAAAGCAGACGCCTGGGGGGCATGGTCACTGTCTTCAAAGGGCTGTGGAGCTGAGCCGTGGAAGCCACACGGAGGGCGGGACAAGAAGCACCAGGAAAAGGTGGTGAGGAGTGGGCTGTCGTTCCCCCCCACCAGGACCACCCCAGAGGCACACTGCTGTAGAGGGAAGGGCTGTTCGAGCCAGCCTGGGCTCACCTGGGCCGCCTCTGATGTCGCTGGAAATGGAGCTCAGACCCCCAGCCTCTCCCCCAGGGCCGTTGTCAGGGTCGGATGCAGAGCCCCCCGCAGGCCGCCTTCGAGGGCATCATGAGAACAAGCCTCCGGCGTTCTGGGCCCCCAGTCTGGCTTGGAGGTGCGGGGCTCGCCATCGAGGGTGCTCCCCCGGCTCTCACTTGACACGCGAGGTGGCTCCAAGGCAGTGAAGAAAGGTGGGGGCTGCTGGCTGCAGGCGCTGAGCCCCTGACCAGCGGGTGTGGGCCCGCGCCCCAGCCACAGTAACCAGGGCTTGCTCTGATGGAGTCACTGGGCAGGAGGAGACCCCTGCCTAGCAAGGGTTCTGGGGGATCCCCGAGTCAGAAGGACTGGCATGGTTAAAAGCGCCTGCATAGCTTCTGCGACAAGGCAGACCAGGGCAGAAACAGAAGAGACGGGCTCATCGTGGGGCAGTAGAACGGCTTGAGATGACACCTGGAGTCAGAAAGACCTGCCTAGGAATTAATCCAAATCCAGCCCGGTGGCCCTGGGCCCTCTTTACCTCTGTTTGCCTCATCTGCAAAATGGGGATAAGAAAAGTGCTTACCCACTCACCTCTGGGATCAAATTGTGGGGCAGGCAGTCTTAGAGCAACTTTAAGCTACATAAAAGCTATTAAAACTTTTTATCTGTTTTATTTTTTAATTGAATTTTATTTTTGTGCTCCAAATTCTCTCCTTCCTCCACCTTCTCCCCCACTTATTGAGAAGCCAAGAAATACGATACCCTTTGTACATGTGAAGTCATGCAAAATGATTCTACCTTAAAATTACTAAAGCCTAAAGTTATACCAAGCCAGTAGGGACACCAGTGTAAAGTCCTCTGGTTTTTAAAGTTCGTCATGACCTGCCCTCTCCTGTGCATGCACCGGAGACCAGCGACTGTGGCCGGAGGTTATTCCTGCCAAGCTCAGCTGACTCTCCCTCCTCATCTCCACCTCCCAGCCACAACTCCACCCTCCTTTCCTGACCCCCTGAATGGTAGAGCCCCCCCTTCTATTCACTGCCTCCAATTTCTCCTATCTCTCACCTGTCTGGATACACAGCATTCACTATAAATGCTTGTTGACTTCATTTCCTTCCCAGGGTTGTTTTGAAGATAAAATGAAGGGGCAGCTAGGTGGCACAGTGGGTAGAGCTCCAGCCTTGGAGTCAGGAGGACCTGAGTTCAAATCTGGTCTCAGACACTTGACACTTACTAGCTGTGTGACCCTGGGCAAGTCACTTAACCCCAATTGCCTCACCAAAAAGCAAACAAATAAACAAAAAAGAAAATTATGACTCAAAACTGCTGCCTACATGAAAGTCAGAGCTGTTAAAAGAGCTTGGAAGAGGATAAAATGAGATAATTTGTGAACCTTAAAGCGCTATTCAAAGAGGGGCAACGGCCTGCATCTACTACAGCCACCAAGACAGCGTTCAGCCTGGCAGCAGCGTGCCGTGGGGGGCTATCCAGAGAGCTTCTGGAGCTCTCTCTTGGCCAAAACCAGAAGAACTAGCAATCTCTCCACATGCCTTGATGATAATCTCAACTTTCAGGAGGTGGAAGAAACAACAATGGAAGTTCTCTGCTGGGTCTGACTGTCACTGGTGGGGAGGAAATGATGGAAACCTCGGGGGAAGGGACCGGTCCCTCCTCGAGTCTGTGACGGAGAAGGGCGGGCAGGGGTCTCTGGTTTCTTGTGCTTTCAAGGCACTGAATGAGAAGGCTCGAACACAAGGGGCACAGAGGCAACACCCAGCTGGGCGGGGAGCCGAGACCTCATCTGAGCAAGGTCGAGAATCTGGGGACAGAATGAACAAGAGCCCTGGATGGAGACGTTCAGACATAGATCCTGAAAGGAGGATGGAGGTGGAGAACAAACCCACAGCCAGTCTAGGGCCCGTCCGGCCTTCTCTAAAGCCAACAGTGACATCGGTGCGCTGGAGCAGAAAGTGGAGCCGACCCTGGGTGGAGCAGCTGTGCGGTGCAGGGTCTGTGCACACGGTGATGTCGGAAAGCCAAGGAGACCCCAAAACACTTAGCACCATGTCACCTTCTCATGCCAGCTGCTCTGCCTTCTCTAGAAACAGGAAGAACCCTGTGTCCTAAGCTTGACAGGCTAGATCTGAAGATCAGGGACCCAACTATTAAAGACACGAGTCAGTGCGGAAATCCCCGCTTGGACACTGGATGTTCTAAGGCCCCTCCCAGCTCTGACATCCTGCCTTCTAAGGCCCCTCCCAGCTCTGACATCCTGCGTTCTAAGGTCCTCCCAGCTCTGACATCCTGTGTTCTAAGGACCCTCCCAGCTCTGACATCCTGTGTTCTAAGGACCCCCCCAGCTCTGACATCCTGTGTTCTAAGGTCCTCCCAGCTCTGACATTCTGTGTTCTAAGG